CAGTGTTACCTGAGTAGCGGGACTGCAGGTTGGACAACTTGTGCTGTGCTTCCAGTACAGCAAGGCTAAACCTTATCTTCTTATTCCCATATTCACAGTGTATGTTTATAACGCGGAATGCTGTTCACTCGCAGCCGCCTCCATCGCCCAGCCTCTAGACCCAAGAACAGTGAATTTAGTGTTCATAAACAAACCATATATTAATGTGGTCCGCCATGCTGAGAATTTATGTCAGGAAATTGTTTATAAAGGAGCCTGGGGTGGGCAATTCGTTTCTTGTACTGTAAGCCATAGTTGATTCCACTATTTCCCCCTTCTTCAAATAGAGGAAAATTGATTTTATGGAGTTGTACCGCTCCTCTGATAAAAGTGAGGCCACTCCATTCATAAGCACAAATTTTTATTTATTAAATAAAGTGCTTGGGAAGTAAGTAGTTTCAGCACAGTTACTGATGGTTGGACACAAATATGCTGCATTAGTTGTTAGTCTTTATCCCATACCAAGAAATTACTGTCATCAAAAAACCTAATAAAACATTAATAGGATTTAAGCATGTGAGCCTGCAGCTTAACTAGATAGTGGCTGGAGAAGAGAGTGTTTTTCACCTTCTGGATTCGGTAAGGCTCTATTCAGTGTTGAAGTCAGCTGGCAATGAGGCTCTACGAACTGGTAGGTAACAAAAATGCGGTGTGATTAACACAAAATATGCAAGCCAACTTACGCTAATGGCGGTTCAGCCATTTAGGCTGAAGTTGAAGGCGTGTTCTCAATTAATAACTAAAATGCCACCCTGCATTTGAAGCGCCGTTGGAAGTGATCCTCAGTGTGCATGGTGCAGCAAATTTGTAGACCGGTTTGCAAATATATGAGTAGTTGCCCTGTCTCTCTGTGATCTAAGGGAATTAGGAATGCTCGATTGAGGTATTGTAACTAGGTAACCAACTTCACTCGTTCACCTTCGTAGACCTTGTTGGGTTTAGAAGACACGCGTTACTCTGTTTCATTCCATGGAAAGAATACAAGTGGCACATAGTTATCGTTTGGGTAATTTTGGCCTGCATTGCACTAGCGGAGCTTTCCTCCAAATCCAAAAATCACTTTAACACGAATCATATTATTGTTTACAATTTGGAAGAGGCTATCATGTCTGTATATAGGTGAAATGCGAACCCTAACACATGATTTGTTCTGTAAAAGTGCCTTGGTAACTCCTGTTGCATTCTTTGCGTCCAAAAACACCTATCTTTTTGTGTAGTCGATTTTAAAGCATCAGCATGTCTTCATTGCCTTTCATTCCTAATTTTTTGAACCTTTAGATTAAATGGGCTCCGGCAGATGCTCCTGACGCTGTGCAAACTGCTGAAGTCAAGGAGGATCTCATGTCCGAAGTTATCAACTACACCATCGAAAGTAATTTATGAATCTTTCTTTACTAATAATTTTAAACCAATTGCGTTTTAGACAAATCGGGTAAAATTAGAATGCACACACGATTGCCATAGTCAGTGCGATCTAGCGACTTAGTGAATTCGCTATAATCTCTTTAACGCATGCTACCTTAAGCCCATCACTGAGGTGAAATTTGAAAATAAAGTTTTAAAATAGTCTCAGAAATTTATTAAACTAACTTTGATTTGCCTCTCATCCTCGCCAACTCTTGCGTAGGCAACTTTTATCACCTGTTTCTTCCATCGTGCCACTGTGGCCACTCAGTGAACCCCTTATCAGCACTCGGTTATCGCCGCGGGTAAACAGTAGTACTATTACTTTTCGCCACATCAAGACGCGGCTCCCGCTGACGCTATCCATTTCGGGCATATTTTCATGGCACAAAGTCATGCTGTTAAACTTTTTACGCCGATTTGAGTTCTTACTGAATTTTGCTGCTCGGTACCTGTTTTCTCCGGTATTCTGCTCATCGGGTCTCGTTACTACAGCATCTTATTCTCCAAATACTTAATTTCAGCTATCAGTTATCCGAAGTGAAGTTTTATTAATTTTTTGTGCCAACAGACATGCTGCTTGACCTTTGATCCGGGAAACAACTCAGAAATTAGTACGTTTCGCAAAGTACCTCACTTCAACTTACGGTAACTACCTCTTTGACAATAAGCAAAAGGAAAGTCGCATCACTTTTCGACGGAATCGAGTGAACGTTGTACAGGTTAACAGAGGGTATACTTTAACTCTTTTTATGGGGAAATTGAAAACAAATTTTAGTTCGTGGCTTTCGTAATCCAACTGTCCAATTCCCAGTCGCAAGTCTTACGTAATCTTGAAATATTCCACAAACTGCTGCGCTATAAATTTGGGCCTTCAAAAATTTTTTGTTCAAATTAATACTTAGAAAATGGGAAAGATTTCATGCGCAAGCTATTATGGTCGCTTTTCTTTTTTTAATACGATTGTAAGAAAATATATCAATAAGTGCGTTTACAACAATTTATAAGTGGGGCAAAAGTATACCTCCGATGCTGACGATATTCGTATCAAGCATAGCGAATGATATGCTTTGAATAAGGCTTACCATCAACATGCAGCAGAAGTTGAAGTGCAAAAGCGTCGTCGCCCAGCCGCAGTCAGGATGATGCCTCGAACTCGCCTCTAAGTTTCATCACTACACCGTGCATACAAAAGGATGGTGTTCAAGCGACGAATTAGTTTTATTTTTGCAGGATAAGTAGATTCATAGTTTAATAAAGCGTAGGTATGGGAGAAGTTTTATGATCACTACTTATGACGTTACGAAAGACTATTTAAGGAGTGCTTCTTGTCAAGTAGTAAATACTTTGTGCCCTTCTGATTACTTTTAGGTTTCTGTGTATCCCTTGAGACTGTCATGCATTATCGTAAGGGATAGTGAGGGGAAGCACTTATTTTGTTCATGCCAGAAATGAATGACTTATCAGTGACCCATGTTGACGCATTTGTTATAAACGCCAGATACAAGGACGATGAGTATCAATTTTTTCGCGGCAAAAATCAAGATGTTTAAAGGTTTGCTTAGTCTTGACGCTAAATGCGCTAACGCCTAAAGCAATGGCGTGAAATGTTTATGGAAATCGCAAAGGCTTAAAATAGGCATGTGAACTTTGATTTCTACTGAGGTTAGGAGTCAATTAAGTTGTCATTATGACTGCTTTTGACATGTTTTCAACTAAACTCATCTCCTTAATTCCTAACCAAATGTCGTTTTTACACTTTTCTTAGTGTGCTACAGCTCCGTACCTAGACAAACAGTATTATTTTAGTTAGAGTGAGTCGAAGCGCACATACTCAAATGAGAGAGCATAATCACCTGCAGCACCAAAGATCTCTATTTACCGCTTCATCAAAGAAGTTTTCATATTGTGGGAAACAAGAAGGAAAACATCCTATTTTCGGACCTGCCATATTATAGTGCGCCTCAGAAGTGCCTGTTTTTTGGTCATGCCTTTATAGCTGAACTCCACCACCTCTGATTGTGCGGGGAAAGAGCCGGCTTTTACGCGCAATCGCACGGATGTTTCCAAGTATCACTTACTAATCATATTACCATGTTCCTTTTAGATCTCTCGAAGGCCACGAACTATCGGATCTATGTAGCCTCCAAAAACTCGCTCCATAAGGCCTCCCCATTCACTGACTACCTCATCGCAGCTACTACTGGTGAGTTTGCGTGACACACTGTTTACATTATGCAGTCCCCATCTGGGCGCAACCCAGACCTGACCATGGCAAAACAAACAACTGTCCTATAGCACTTCTTAATAGTCACACATGCCGGCTTTTGCCTCGGGATGCCTGTTTCCTCATTTTATGCAATCAGACAACTGTTGGCGTTATCACGCGTTCCTGTCAAGCATGTTCTGACATTATGTCCATCAAGATCCACAAGTGGACTAAACTTTAGAATAACGAAACTGAGCCATTGTTACTAGTGGTTATATCGGAGCCAGGAATTGTTTAAATCCAGCCAGCACGACAAATTTTCGACCCTTACAAAGTCGCGAACTAGTACTTCAGTTTTGAGCGCCAGCAGCACATTTTTGTTCGTTAATTTTAATTTGGATTCTTACATGCATTGGGTGAACTCCATTTTCTCTAAACTGCTTCCA